CTTGTTTTGCTTTGTCCAGATACAACAATGAGATCAAGCAGATGGATAAACAACAACACCACCAACAAAAAAATCCCCCACTAAGCTGAATGTGACAGCAACAAGAGAGGAAACAGAGCCCCAATGAACAACAGTTAAACCCTAATCTGTGTCTGTATACCTGCAGCCATCAATCAGCCTCATAGAGCCTCTGTTTTCTCACCAATGCCAAACTGCACTTCAAACCTCAAGCAGCCGCCTTACCTTTAATAACGGCTCAACATTCCTGTGCACCATCAGCAGAAACTGAGGGAGACATAATCACTCGCAGCCATATTTATCCACAGATTAAATGATGATGGACTTCACAATGGAAAATGCTCTTTACTGTCAATGGAGCTGCAGCTTTAAGTCAGGCTTCAGTCGGCTCAATCTGACATGCCGCTTCCTTTTGTCTCCCCAAATCACAATGGAATTATCTGAAATGGACAGAGGGCCCTGAAAAAGCAAATAAGGCCTATTAAGGGGTAATAATAAAACCCAGCAACAAGCAAATGGACCCCTGCATTAGTGAGGGTTCATGAGGGGATTGGACCTTTATTATTGGATTGAAAACGTCTAAAAATACGCATTTGTTGCCGCAACACTAAACGAGCGATTACAGCAGCTTAGGCGACTCCGTTTTACCACAACAATGAAAGGATTGCTGGATCGGGCCCACTCTCCGTTCCAGGGAGTTTCTGCGCGCTTCCTGCACGTCTCTGTGTGTGTCGACAACCGAACGGCCGCGTCGCGTTTAATTTGAGCCTTTCATTAGGACGAAAACACCAATCATCTGGTCCTTCCTCAGGGAAAACTGGAACTTGGATGAGCAACACAAAGCCACTCATTATGTCAAGTTAAAGAAAACACAGCACTTCAGGACATTTGTGCTGATTGCTGGAGATTTTGAGCACACCACTTTGTAAGTCCAGCATTCCAGCAATATTATTCCTCTTAGGACCTTGTAGAACAGCGCTGAAGAGGTATTCAGTACAGTGAAGTTGCACAAGCCCTATGGTGTGGCATCAGTGCCTAAATTAAGGCTATTGTGCACCCAGCAGTGGCTACTTCTTTGTCGCATGAGGCTATATCCATTCCAAAGCCACCAACAGATCTGATTATTTATAGTCCGGCCCCGGCAACCGAGCAACCGCCAGAGATGAGTGGCCGGTGTTGACAAATGAGAAAACTACTCACTTAACTTAACATTAGAGAAGCTAGTAACTAGCATGCCTAGGCTGGTCATCTGCGACTCGTACTTTCTTCTTTAAAGGAAACTTTATCAAGAAACCTGGTTGGCAAACAACAAGGTTTGCCAACTGTCCCGTATTTGCCGGGATGTCCCGTAATTTTAGCCAAACTGAAGTGTCCCGTATGGTATGCTCTTTAGCCCGTATTTTGAACGCTGTCTGCATTTTTTTAACAAACACTAGATGGCACTCCTCTCCTTAAACAACATTACCTAGAATAAAACTTGGCGAAGTAGAAAGCGCGGCACAGCTGAGTTTCTGAGTCTTCGAATTAGTTTTTCAGTCAGAAGTCACAACTACAGGTGCTGAGCTGGCAAGTTTACATACATCTGTAAGAACCACACTTTAGATTCAGTAGTACATGTTCTATTGACAGTTTACTTTAATACAATGTGATGTTGCACACTGTACTATACAGAGCTAAAGTTAGCTTCCGATTTGGTGACTTGTACTTGTAGTATTCACAATTTCTGACATCACTGGTGGAATTTTGTTTCTTCCTTTTAAAGGTGTTTGTTGACATCAAACGTCGGACAATTAAATTAAGGTCCAATCAGATCGTTTCTATTGTTTTCTAATTAATTCTGTCATCACTGGTCCACTGATGCCATCATTACTGAGGTCTCAGCTGTAGCCGTTACACAGTTCACTTCCTGTTTGACTGCAGAGGCCCACATGGTTGATTCTGCTAAGTGGCAAAACAAGCCCACATCATCACCCTTCCACCACCATGTTTTATTAAAAAAAATTTACGCATTTAATTTGCAGTTTATTTATTCATTTCATAGTGTTTTGTTTTGTGACATTTTGTAAAGATACTTTAAGCATTTCATGGACTTTTATTTTTTTAACAGTTTTTTTCCCCCAGGGTATTGTTATTCCATGTTCTCATATAATAATAAATAATATAGGAGATAAAACAGACAAAATAAACTCCTAATTAATAAATATATTTTTTATATTTGTGTTTTTTACTTTATGGGGACGCTTTTTTATTTTATGGCGTATCAATTATTTATCAACATTCAGCTATGAATAAAATGTTTGTGTGAATTCTTGAAATCTGGCTGAATTTCAAGTATTTTTACTGGAAGGCATATGAATCTTACTTTGACATGATTACTCATTTATTTATGCTTTTCACTTCAACTTTGGGGGGTTACAAGGCTGAAATCTGGGACCATAAATGTACAGAGAATGGCTTTACTTGAGCCAGTGCTGCAGTTTCACGGCCGTCCTTTTTTTTTTTCCAAGTTTGCTTTTCGGTGACACAGCAGATCACTTTCACAGAAAAGTGGCGCAGTGACTCAGTCGGAAGCCTGACCAGGCACATTTCAGACGAACAGGGAACCCAGTCGCCATTCTGATTGCAGGTGCTCCACTTAAGATGCAAAACTAAACAGCATAATTTCCCGAGCTAAAGCTGCCCCGTCACTTTTCCATCAGCCGCATTATTGATTCACTTCATGCAAATGCACACAAAAGGGGGTCTGAATATATTTGTGGCTTTATGTAATCCAGTTGATGAATTTGCTTGCCTGCAATGCTAAACAGGTTATGAGTAATCTGCGCTGCATTACACTTTGAGGGGAACCATTACAGCGCTGCAAAAATTAAGCTCAGGGCCACGTTCTGAGGAGGCGCAGATAAAGTATACATTCTCTCCAAACAAAATAGGTCATGCTGTTTCAGCTCCAATTAAATGCTGAAGAAAAAAAAATAAATAAACAACAGTCAACCATAGAGCAGCTGTGTACGGAGTAGATAATTAAAAATTAACCGATTCTATAACTGACGGGTTTTTATGTTTTATTTTGTTATTTGTTCCCACAGAAGCTCAAATCTGTGGCGTTAACAGAATTCACAGAGCATGATCGACCTGGGCGCTTTCGCGAGACACGGAGCGTATGTACAAGGGTCTTTCTACGCGTGGAAGATGGTGCGTGCATAAAAACTAGGTCATCTGCTCAGAACTGACACATCCCCCTGCAAACAGATATTTGAAAATCAGAGAGAGTTGAGGAGAGAGGGGTGCCACGAGCAATCTGGGGAGAAAAAAAAAAAACCTCAAGAAAAAACAACCACAACAACAAATGACTGCACAAATTGCCGGGACTGAGATAAAACTTATTTGGCGCCTCTCGGTGTACCATTACAGTCCTGTGAACTGCTGCAAACGCCATATTAAAACAGGATGCAGGTTTTCCTGGTTTTGGGCGAGAAGAGCCGCGCCTCCGTCCGGCTCCGGCCTCATCTGGGAACCCGGGATCTATATTTAAGGCCCCGTGCGGCGGACATAATGACGGCCCGCACGGGTCAGTCTCCTCAAGTCCATGTCCTGGCAACGAGCACTTCCCTTCTGCGATCCGCGCCGCCGTCCACCTCCTGTGTAATTTCACCTCCTCGGCAAAATAAAACCATGATTTATCCGTGTCACTCCCCACCTCTAAACAACGACACGGCTCAACTGGATGACAGTCTGACCCAACAGCCAACACCTCAGAGGGGGGAGAGGTGGAGAGAACGCTTCCTTGATTAGACGGAGATGTGGAAGAAAAAAAACAAAAAAAAGAAAAGTTTAGAAAGTGCACACGTTTCAGAGTCTCCAACCCGGGGGAGGAATAAAAGCCCCCCTATTTGTGGGCAGGAGGAGGATGTAAGGAGCTCAGGGAGGAAGAAAGTTTCTGCAACTCTCCGTAAACAACAGGGGAACTTGTTTGTGAGCTTTGCACTGATTGGGGTGGTGGGGGTGAGGGTGGGCTGTATGCACATGAAGAGCCAACAGGGGACACTGTTCATACAGAGGAAGATGGGTTTGGTTGGGGCTTTACAAGTCTGAAGTCTGCTTCTAATCATACGGAGTAGCTGATGTGTCGGGATGTGGATTATCGCCGTCAAATTCAGTTTTCACAAGATTCCTGTTTATTTTAAGCTACATCTAAAATGACACATTTTTCTAGATTTTGTCACATTTTTCTATAAAACGTAAATTTCCGTGTGTTTTAACGGGATCTAATGTGGCAAGCAGGGAAAATGTGTGAAGCGCAACAAAGACGGGACACATTTTGTTTGTGCTCTGAGCTGTTTGAGTGGCGCAGCAGATTCACTTTCACACGTGGAGCATTACAACTTTTGCCACGTTGCTCCACTTGATGTATATATAAAACTTAAGTAGAAATTGTTTTGGATTTATTTCAGCTGCAACAGACAGAGACGGTTTAAAGTGCAACAAGGAGATGAGAGAGGAAGAAGAGAACAAGTCAACATTCTTAAGTCTGCTTCTACACCTGCAGAAAGAAAAAAACTAAACTAAACCGAAACCACAGCAACAAACAATCACATAATGATTATAACATCACTAAAAAGTACACTGTAAAATGAACACAAGATGTTTTTAGTGGCAACCGCAGCCAAGTGTAGTGTTTCAATTATTTAAATGGGTGGCTTCCAGATTTAGGTCCCTTCATTTAATGTAAATCAGCTTTCCATAGGTTTCTCAACTTTTACTTTCATCATTTATTCTCACTTTGTTTCTCATTTAGTCTACTGTATTCAACATTTCTAAAAACAACACAAAAGTTCATGTGGAATTTGAAGAGATAAGTGATAATCCGTTCATTAAAAGAGTTTTGTTCAGATCAAAACCTTTGCAGCCCATCGAGAAACGCCTGCATCTCTGCTCTGCAGACACAGGAGTGAAATCAGTGAAATCAACAGGCTGATGTGGAAACCGATGGGCAGTTTGTCACACAGCTGACTTCATCTGCTTTTACACTCCTACTGTCATCAGACTTTAAAGGATCCTTAGAAATTCTGACTTCAGCTCAACACACTGACCCCACAGGTCAGAGTTTTGTGTGGGTGTGTGAGTTGTGTCACTTTGCTCTTGGACTGCATCGGGGAAATCCAGATTCTTCATTTTCATAACATTTGTGCTGCAATACGAGTAAAAAGTGTAAAGTACACTACAAAAACTGAAATCTGACTTTGATTAAATATCTCAGGTTAAAGGGATTTATGTTTGTTTCTTTTCTGCCGAGATACTTTTTTTCCAATAAGGTTTTTATGTTAGAAAATATCCTAACTTCCCATCATCAAACGTCCATTTCAGAATATTTCTAGCACTATCTCAATAAGACATTAAAACTTGATATTAAGAATTTATGATAGAAACTAAAAAATCATTAGTTACAAAGCAACTTCACACATTCATCAATATATGTGCTATTGTTGCTTCTAACATTTATTTACAGTTAGATTTTTTTTTCTTGAAAGGGATGGTAAAGTTTACTATCATGTTTCAAGTAGCTAACCAGCAGTGATCAACAGGAGGGGTAGATCTGTACTAGCTTCATAAACTTGAGAAAACTCAAATCCTTTTAAAACCTTTATCCAACCAATGTCTTCCATCGTTAATTTCTGCTAAACAGGAAAAGGCTTGCAGCAATGCCACTTTAAAATCTTTGAGTAACACAACTCCATGTTGGCCCTCCTGGCTCTGATCTCTCTCGTTAATGACTCTATTGATGCCGGAGGTCCGTTGATGAGCAGCGAAACTGTTTTAAACGTGGAAGCGACCGCCGATGTGTTGCTATGAGAAAGGCGCCTATAAACAGACCCACATCGAGTTACAGACTTCAAGGATCGGGTCCAGCAGAGTGACCTTTTCTCTATAAAGGAGTCAGTAAACAGATCCACTGGGGACCACCACCATGAACTGTGTCATTTGACAACATGGTCGGAGGCACAGCAGTAATTTTAAACAGCAGCATGTACATGCCGAATGCCAGGAGAGCCTAACTGATCCCCCGTCGCGGAGCTCGACTCACTTCGGAGGAGGAAAAACCTGTGATGGTCCTACAGGAGAATGTGCGCTGCATCGCTACGAGGCGGTCAGTCAGTCAACTGATATGAGGCCACAGATTTAGTATTCCTAACTAACATGAGCTTCAGGCTGACAGGCTGGAAATGCCTTATGTGGTGCCCTTAATTGTGCATTACCAGAGCTCTGCTCACACTCCACTTATCACACAATTTCATGTCTGATTTTAGTAATTATCTTTTTTCACAGCCTTAATGTACAAGTAGAACTATTTAGAGGAATGGTGAAAATGGATACAAATACTTAAATATGTTCAACCCAGCATAGCGATAGATCAACCTGTGCTGTCATCAGATTAGCATAGCTAAACTGAAATCTGTAGATACCATGTTTCAGAAAGAAAAATCACTGCTATTTGTCTCATGTAAATAGTAATACGTTATTTAAATGAAACACAACTGCTTTTCATTTGAGACTCCAAAAAACAGAGATTGTTACATCAGACGCATCGTCATCAGACAGGCTGCCGTCTTTATTGTCTGACCTATTATGTTCAAAAAGTCAAATTCAAAAAAGTGTCACCTTGTAGAGGAGGGCAAAACTTCATGACACCAAAACCGCACAATATTTCTAATAAATCTAAAGTAACATCCAGTTGCTGTGGGCATATTAATTCGACTAGGAAACAAACTCTAAGCTACTAATGTGATGGTGAGCGCCTTCAGCTGCGTACTATGTAGCTAAGTTTTATACTCTTACTTTGAAGTAAGAAAGAAAATAGTTCTCCAGTGTCCCCTTTGTGTCGAGTCGACTAACAAAGGTGGCTCACAATAACTAGCACCGTTTCTGCTTTATCTGCATTGTAAGAACACCGCAATTAGCTAACTGTTGGCTGCTAATGATGCTAATATTGGCATTTGCACTCTTTTAATGTGCCTGGGCTTTATTGAAAACTATTGGCTCAAAATCAAAACCACACACACTACATAAAGGTTACCTGGCTCTTACTGAACTGTTTCTGTGAAACATAGTGTAAGATTTATTAAACTTTAATTCCACTTGTGAAGATGCAAAAGAGAGCATTTTCAGTCCATTTTACAGTATAAACATCATCTTAAAATTGAACAAGCATAAAGTTCACAGTACTGTGTTATTGTACACCGACTACAGATTCCTTAAAACAGAGTTCATAATTTTTAAAAACATAAAAAGGTTTTATGGAAAACCCCGTATTGTTTTCTCAATACTGTGTTATCTTGTGGGTTGGCTGTATTGTTAGAAACATGGACAAAAAAATCTTTGACACAGATCTTGTCCAACTGAGCTGAAAAATATGACTTTTCTGCTTATATTAAAAATATTCTTGAAGTGTAGGAGGAGCACAAAAAAAAATTGAAAGAGCACTGAGGTATAATTGGAGTATTAATTGTCTAACATAAGCTGGTTTGCTTTAAAACAACAAAAAAAGAGGTAAAAATCACGCTTATGTTTTTAATTGGGCTGTCAAGACAACATCCCAGAGAAACTGCCTGGAAAATGTTCTAATTATACTGTTAGGTTCATTACCTGAACACATCCAGCCACTCACCCACACACAGGCTTATTTTCTACAGGCATGATTTTTCAGAGAGCCACTGTATGTTACTACATAAAAGAAAGTGCCGGACAGAAATAGACAATGCATCCTTTATGCGAAACGGCATTTGAACGACAAATGAATACATGCGTTTATGAAAGACGCTCGAATTTGAGGCAGCTTTTTTTAATCTCAACACTTTGTTGACGTGGTGAAAAATAGAGAACGGCTTTAACATTTTTCTCAGAAAGTATTTATTGGTTTTTAATGCTGCTGCCAGAGGGAAATTTCTGTCCAGAAGACTATAAAGAAAAGAAAGATTATATTTAGAGGAGCTCTCTCTATGATGGCACTGAGAAGAAATTAAGATAGACTGAGGGTTATTTACAGCAAAAAAAAAAAAAAAAAAATCTGATGGGAATGTTTTTTTCTTAATAGAAAATCTCTAAATAGTGGGGGGAAAAAATAAAGAGAGATGGGTTGATTTGTTTGAGTAAAACTGGCAAAGAACAAGTGCAATTTGTTTCAAGGTGTGTCTACACAGTAAAGATCACAGGATTGCAGATAACATGCCTTGATCTTGTTGAAGCCTTGGGCTCCTGCTTTGTAGTTACACATTTTAACTCTGCGCCAGCCGCACAAGCCTGTCTCTGGTGATCTGGAGTGGAGCTGGTAACCCTCCACTCCTTCTGCCTGCATGTTTCTTTTTTTTTTTTTTAAGGCCGGCCTCCCCATGCCATGCCTCTCATGTTTAGTGGGGTCGCCCAACTGAGGTGATGACATCACACGGGAAAAGGTTCACCCCCGATCAACTTACAAGTGCAAAAGTTTCAAGTTTAGCAAACAAAACAACCAGCCGTTTCTTGAAAACCATACAGCTGAACTGCAATGACGGTCACTTTGACTTTAGAAAAAACACAAAGTTAAATCAACTAATGCCACAATTCAAAACATCAACCATTATAAACATGACTGGTGAGATGGGACTAAAGGTTTCTGGCATTAGATTGCAGAAAATACAGTATTTTACTTGATACAACAGTTTTGTTTCTCTACTTCATGGAAATAGTGTAATGCTTTAAACAAAACTGTTTACCTACCTGTAATTTGGATTTTGTTGTGCTGTGAAACATCCAGTTTCTTATGAGTCATCAGTAAAAACATTTGATAGGTTAATAACATAAAAAAAGCTAAGGTTATCGTCACTATGAGTGTAGTTAAAAGAAAATTTAGTAAATGTCAGCTACAGCTGGCAATGGGCTACAAAATTTGTTTGTATTTGAGATTCTATATTCTGATGGTTTTCACAGAATGTAGAGATGACATTCAAGGTACAGTATGAAAAAAATGTTTTACATATTTGCTAAAACTATTACTATGCTGTGGCAGAATAACATGACAAAATGAAACTCTCTGCCTTCTCCCAGTGCTATTTTTAGAAATACTCAGCTCTGTCAGAAACAACCAATCAGAGTAAGGAGGAGGGTCTTAGTGCTGCCAATCATGTTCCCGCTGGTAACAGTTCTGGGTTTTTCATTATAGTTTAGTTTTACTTCATTGTCACTTTTTGTACAATTCAGTTAGTTTTAATTAGTTTTCAGAGTGTTTGCTAGTTTGTATTAGTTATTAGTTAAATGTTGCTTAGTTTCAGTTTAGTTTTTATTACTTATAGTAGTTTTAGTTTTTTCATACTTTGGTTCATTTTTAGGTGCAGAATTGAAAAAGGTCAGAATGTTGAGTTGTGATTATGTATACATCGATAAGGTAAAGGATACTTAACAGAAATGTATTCAATATTGTTGAAATAATTGAAAACTGACTCTGGTGTTTTATCCCAACTTAAGAGCTGTGATTTGCCAACAGCTGACGTAAACTGCATGTTTGGGGGGTAAAAAAAAAAATCTTATTTCATATTATTTTGAAAGGTGAATAAATGATCATAAACACAAAAACGAAGGATATTTTTGTCTCTTACTTGTATGTTTTAGTTCTATAAATGCACAATATAATTCCAGTTAGTTTCCCCCATTAACTACTGTTTTTATTTATTTCAGTTGACAAAAATGGTTTCTCAGTTTCAGTTGTGGTTTATGCCGCTGGTTTCAGTCACCCATGATAACCTTGCAGGCCACAACCGGAGGGCAGAGAAAATGTGAAGCGCATTTGAAAGCTGAAGCCGAGGTTGACCTTCCACAGGGGCTTTCACTGTCTGCGGTTCCAAAATAATCCTCGCCTTGTCAAACATCACTCAAGCTCAAGCTATTGCACAAAGTTACCATCCAGCTTAGCTTTCCTCTAATTTCACAAAACAAACAAACAAAAAGAGACGGAGAGACTCGTAGAAACTGGTATGTTAGCTGGCAAATCTGTAAAAACTACACTGGAGATCAAGCAGTGATGAAAGTAAGCATCCTTCGTAGAGTGTTGGGATAAGAAGCCATCACACACACACACACACACACACACACACACACACACACACACACACACACACACCTTGGTGGAGGCTTCGATTCAGGGCGATGCGGGGTGAAGCAAAGTGCAGAGATTACGGGGCTCCAATCCGAGCCGTTTATCTTGGACTTCTAATGAAACTGACCTTCTATGAATGCCCCTAATTATGCGAAATGATCCTTTTAATGAAGTCTTCAATCACAGTCACAGATCCCCCGGCTGACAGAGCTGCGGCTGTTACGTAAAAACCGCCGTTCGCGTGAAGAGAGGGGGAGGTCAATTTTTTTTTTTTTTTTTTTGATTATCGTGACAAATGCTAAATAGTTCCTCTTAATTGACTGTATTTTTGGCTCATTTCCACAACAAATTAACAGAAGAGCGAGCTTTTAGAGCAGATTAAGCGCCGTTTGTAGAAGGTAATGAACATGTCACAACATCGGGTCGAGCAGAGCGATGATCGTGAAGTCGGCTTTCTTTCTAATCGGCCTTCCGGAAGATCTCGGCTTAGTTTTTCAGCGACAGGATCAGAGGATATAGTCTGAAGATGGCGTTGACTCCACGGTGCAAAACAGTTTCGTGTGTTGAATTTTGGGTTTCCAGACATTTTTAAAAGCATGCAAATAAAGCAGAGATGGTGGGGGGAGTTGGAGTTGGCGATGGAGCGTTACCTTACTGCGCTGCATCCTTGGGAAAGCAAGACAAATATATACATAAAGAGCAGAAGCTATGTCTGCAAAATTAGCAAATTGCTTTCATCTGAAATCAAAGAGACTCCTACAAATCTATTAAACGCCACCTTTTGTTTTCCTTTTTTTTTTTTTTTGGTTTTGTTTTGTTTTACATAATGCATCATACTGGGACCAAAGCCAGCTTTTCCAGCAAAATGTAGACTCTTTGTTTTGAACAAATATAATTAGAGTTATTTTTAATGTACTTGCTGCAATGCTGAAGCTAATTTGTATTTGGTAAAGCGCAGTCCTTGATGAGCTATTCCCCGAGGCTGAGAGGCCCAGTTTGGATTTTTGAACCAGCATAAAATCCTTGAATTAAAGAAAACTCAAGGGCCCTCTACTTTCCAGAGATCGGCGAAGGCTGGGCATGTTGAGATGTGAATAGATGTCTCAGTGGCATCCGCCGCTCCGTTCTGAGCAACAGGACAAGGTTTTTATTATTCTGCTCCATTAGGTTCTGTTCTATTAAAAAAAAAAAAAAGTCCCAAACACGATCTATTGTTTTGTAATATTTTTGCCCAAATTATACGTCTCTTTATTTCTATAGTCGAAAACCGGAATCTGCTTTTTAAATAATTTACTGAAAGCCAGTTGGAGGACAACTTTTCATCTGAAAGAGGGACATCTACCAAGATCTGTTATTTTTAAAGTCTTTTTTTTTTTGCGTACAGCAGAGAGTACTGGAAAAATAAAGGTGGACAAAAGAGAAACAGACAGAGAAAGAAAGAGAGCAAGAAAGCAAAAGAAAAACAGAACGAATGATAGAGCGAGAGAGCAAGAAAGAAAGAACGAAAGACAGGAAGACAGAATGAGAAGTAAGCAAGAAAGAGAAAGACAGAACAAAACACAAAGATCAAACAAACCAGCTTCTCGGTTGGTGACTGTATGTTGTTTTTATGACCTTTTTTGTGACTTTATGTTGTAAAACACTTTGACCTTTCATGTTGCTTTAATGTGTTTTATGCAAATAAACGTGATTGACTGACACCAAAGTGTTTTGAATCAAATTGAATCTGTTCAGTAACATCTTAAAGACGCTACATAAGCCTAAGTTATGATAGTAATAAAGTCAGGTTTGTGCTGGAGCTCAGTGAGCGTCTTACCTTTGGCTGAACATCTGGTCCGGCGGTGTACGGAGCCAAGCTCGGGGGGACATCTGTGATGTAGGTTTTTCTGGGGCCTGGCGGCTGGTACGCCTGGGCCGGGGCTGGGACCGGGTCGGGCCTCCTGGAGCTAACTCCGCCTAGTTGCGGTCCCCCGGGGTACTGCTGCTCCTGATATGCCATGGGGGAGAACCCGGGCTGCGGTGGCCCGTACGCAAAGTCGGGACCTCTGGGCTGCGCGGGCATGTACTGCACCTGAGCGGGGCCGCGGATCGGCTGCTGGCCGTAATGGTGGCCGGCCGGGGCTTGGTGCTGGGGGCCGGGCTGGGCCGACCTCACCTGGACGTTGAAGGTGGGCTGGCTCGGGGTTGACGCTGTGGTGTAGGAGGCCGGGACGGGCTGAGGAGCCATGTTGCCTTGAGGCCTGGCGACGGGGCTGACGGAGGGAGGCGGCACGGACGAGACGCCCCCTTGAGGTTGGGGTTTGGGCATCGTCTTCTTGGTGGCAGTCAGAGGCGGCTGATTGGGGATGACCATGCGCTTGTAACCTGTCACCGGAGCGTTGGGGGCAGAGCCGGCCGAGGAGCCGGCGTTCTGAAAAACAGGAGAAACGGCTCGATTCAAAACTCAGAACAAAGTGACTCGGTTTCAAGACATTTCTGTATAAAACTCTTAACCTTGGCCCTTTTTGCTTTCAGATTCTAAGTGCTGGAGGAGAGAGCTGGAGTATTCACAGCTTTCTGTTCCAACGAGCTTCTGTGCCAGCACTTAGGGTTACCATGACCTGGGTGACTGGCGGTGTTCAACGAGAGAGATTTTATGTTAGAGAAACAAAAACCTGCACCACAACAAAGTCGTAATGTCACACACGAGTTATGCTTCCTGTTAGCCGGCTTCCTGTTGAGGATTCATCACAGACTATAATAAAAATGTCCACCCACAGCTGCCATACAAACGGCATACAGCACAAAAACATGAACCATGAGATTTGACATTAGACTGTTGAGAAGCGTATAAAAGGATATACTGCTGTGGAAAACTAAACTTTTCACCGTCTCAAAGTAAAAAAAATGAGAAAAAAAAAGACTGCAAAAACGGTAAGTGCTTTAAAGTTGTCATTAGGAGGTGATGTTGTCTGAAAGTTTGCTCATTTGAAGGTAATTCACCATTTAACACGGATTACGGCTTGTTTAATAGTGATTTTCCTCATAAGACTAGCATCTCGTCAGTTCTGATTTGTTTGTGTTACAGGGTTTCAACAGGTTGCGCCGACTCAAATTTAAGACATTTTAAGACCATTATGAATGAACTTTAAGACTGGTATCGCAACAAACATACAAAAGAAATTTTATTTCATGTTTTTTTTAAAGAATGGAAAGCTATTGAGGAAGAAACGGTACTTTAATTACCGTTCCTTTGAAACTTTCCCCCCATTTGTCATCATAGCTGCATCTGTGGCTCCATGTTTTTTTTCCTCATCCTTCTCAGCTGTACTTCCCTCCTAGTAGCAACTTTGTTGAAATAAAATCCATCAACAGGTAGGACAAGTGCCATCACTGCGTTTAAAATCCACAAAACCTCAGACTGCACAGTTTGTGTCTCACCAAATGCTGCTCTGATCAGTGCTAGCAGTAGCAATGTCCAACGTTTTCTGGAAAGCTTTGGCATCAAAAACAGACATTTCTGGGGTCTGTTTTGTGGCTCTTGGCAGCAGCTTTGTGCTTTTCACGCCGCATATGCCTTTCTACAGTGTTAACCCCCATAGTGCCAAGCTTTATTCCAAACAACACGTAGCATCGTACGGGTTAGCAACAGAAGTGAGCCAGTGGCGAAAGCGAACATCGTCCAGCCCACCGGTAATAACTTTGCACTTTGCTACGTTTTCATTACAAATGTAAGTAAAACTTTGTCAATACTTCAAATATTTATCATCATATTTGTTAGAAATTTGAATATTTGTCAGTATTTTGAAATTGCTGTGTTTCCATTAACTCAGAAATGCATGTGAATAAGTTTGTTCACGTGATAAGTCACAAAAAAAGCAGCCTTCATCCTCCTACCTCTTCCTGTTGTGTTCTTCAGGAAGTGAAGAAAGCGCTCTTTAAGTTATTAAATAATAATAATTAAAGATGGTTAACTAGTCCTACCATGTAACCCCTGTGATTACTGTATTTGAGGTCAACTTACATTTTGTTTTAATAGCTTGAGACATTTTAAGGCCTTGATTTTTGATACCTGAATTTAAAACTTTGTAAACACACCCTGTGTTAGAAATGTTAAAAACTACAAATCGATTTCCTCTCACTTCACAATTGTCCACCACGTTGTGCTGTAATGTACAAAATCCAATCTTAAAAAAAAGAAAGAGAAAAGTTTAACAAGTTTGAATCCTTTTGCGAGCCACTGTACTTTATGATTCATTCGGACGCTTTGTGCTGTTGAGGCTTCCTGGACAGCGGAAAAACTACCCCCTCCATGGCTCCCTATAATCTATGGATAATAAAGCGAGAAGGGAGTTAGGAGAGGGGAAAAAATTGCTTGGCAAAGGATACTATGACAGCCGACTGGCAGTGGCAAACGACACTTCTGCTGACACCAGCTGCTTGTACGCTGGAGCTGTTAAATCACTGAAATTTGTGGCGCTGGTGTTCCTGGGAAGAGATGGCAGTAAAGCAGCAGGCCTCTGCTGAGATCCTGAATGACTGCAGCATTTCGATCCAGTGTCCAACAAAATATTGCAGCTAAAAAAAAAAAAAAAATCGCGGGCGAGCAGCAGAGAGCTTCACTGAGATGTCAGAGACTCGTGCGGCGAGTCTCTCTCTCCAGCGGCGTTTTTTTCACCAGCGCCGCATATTGGTGTCAGACGTTCAACCATTCTAAAAAAGGTCTATCATTAACCTTGGATGGCCTTATTAGGTTACCGCCTGAAGCCAAAAACTCTGAGTCAATTAGTAAATTTGCAGCACCACAAGAACAAAAAAAAAAAAAAAAAAAAAAAAAAATGAACACTTGTAGCCTTGTCTTCCAAAATGGGGCAATTGCTTTCCCCCTCAAAGGTGATCAAAGCTGTGCAGACAAGTCACAAATAGGGAGGTTTTCCTCTAGCTGACAAAAAAAAAAGAAATCAGTGAAAACACACATCACTCTGTTATCCTCCTCATGCACAGGGATAAAGAAAATTCCAAGTTTTGGTAAAACGCATCAACTTTGTGTAAATCCTATCTAATCTAAGTCAGAGGGAAGCCCCAAAGGAACCGATGGAAAAAAGCTCCAGAAAATTTTTTATTTATTTTTTTTGCGCTCTCGCTCTGATTTCTGCCTCACTGATTAGCGCTGATGTTTATTTAAAAAGTGTGTCTGTCTGCATATGTATGGAAACGGCTCCACTATGCCCTTTAGGAAGAGATATTACTTAATTTAAATGTTTCATGGCTTTTAAATACTTGAGATTATTCATTTATCTTTGAGGCCTTAGAACCTACAGTAGCATTTAGTTTCATGGAGCAGGCAATGCAAATCGGCCCCCTCAAAACGATTATACTGTCATGGTGGGTTTTCCACAAATTACATTAAGAGAATAGATTCATCCTTTTCTGGGGGAGGAGTGGGGAGGGAAGCGAGGAGGATCGGTGGGGGGTGGGGGAGAAATTAATCAAATGTTTTAATATCGGAGCAGAAAATGTCTCTGTAGTGGAAAATGTTGCCAAATGAACTGATTCTACAGTTTGTCTTGGACTGGTCAGCTTCAGTGAGATCAAAGAGAGATAGTATTAGGCCTAAACAAGATAAGTAGTGAGTCAGAGAGAATAGATGTCGATTATTATGCAATGCAGTAGAGTATCATTATGACATTAGCAAAAAGAGCACATGGTTTGTGTAATCAGCAGTGGTTTGAGGGACTGATTTGGTCAAAAGTCCGGAATAACACGGACAAGCAAATCCGTCCAGTGGAGGTTCCACTTGGCAACTTATGGGGATTCAAAGATCCACTGCTGACATGCCTGTGTCTGATACCGCAGCAAGCGTTTGGTGGAGTCTACAGCCCCTTTCTGATAACGGTTCTGCAATAAACAAGCACTCAGGCACCCACCACGCTGTCCTTTCATGTCATAAAAGGTGATTCGTCAAGATCACGGCGGTGTGCGCTCTTACAGCGTCATGTTGAGATTACAGAACCAAAGGGGCATTGCTTACAACTTGCAGAAACCAATATATGATGTGCAATGGGCTCGACACACAGGGAGTGATGGACGACAGCGAGCAGCAAAGGTTTTCCACCATTTGGAGCGAACCCAACACACTGGATACGATGGCAACGTGTCGAAAGGTGAACATTTTTCAACTTCCTTATGTCGCATCGCGAGCTTGCGTGTATGAGCTCAGAATTTTATCAGTTGAAGGGAAACTGGTTCCCACCTCATCACACAAGTTCAATTGGAAATAAATGGACAGAGAGCAACGTCGCCTTCTTTGGGTCAAGACAGGAAGACTTGGGAAAATTACAGAAGGTGCTGAGCGTATGTCGTGAACCTCGCCCAGCAGAGTCATAGAGCCCCATCCTGTTCATGTTGTTATCCACATCAGATTCTGAGTAACATATTTCTCTGATCAGACAGACTTTGAAAGATCCTGCTGTGCCTCTGGTCTCTATGCTCAAAATGGACTCCTGCAGCTTCTGCAGCCATCTTAATTTTTTTATCATGTCTCGACGTCACGGTCGCTCCACGATCTCGTATCACTGCTTCATGGTAACTATTTCCTAATGTGGTTCAGGGGTTTAATAACCTTGCTCACCGACACCTAACAGGTCCCACTGCTTCAGTAATTTTGTGTGTTTAAATGTGAAATTCATATAAAAATTTGTTTCCAAATATAAAATCTTGTATGAGTGTCATACCTGTGTACTTCAGTTAAACGTATTTAGCAAAATACCTTGAAGAGTTTGAGTTTTCATTGAAGGTTTGTTAATTGTACCACAATTGTTAATTTGAACCACAAAATATTACCAACATGATTCCAATGTAACGTTTCTGTATCTACATGGAAAGAGACATTTTGTGCTGTTGTTGCTAGAAGCAAATCTCAATGCCTTTTGTAGAAATCCTGCATTATATTCTTTTATAAACACTCTGTCCTCCGTTCATCAGACTGTTAAACCAATCCTAAAATTACATATTTACTCAATAATACATCAAGAATCGGTTTTATAACAAAATATGTTACAGCTTTACAGATTGCATTTAAAATCGTTTTGTGTTTTGCAGCTGCTGCTACTGAAACAAAACTCACTCTACTTTCTTTTATTTACACTTTTTACCTGAATTTGATTTGAATAAAACAATAGCAAAATCCCATTACATTTGCACTTAAGGGTGAAAGGTCTGTTTTGATGCAGCTTCTGTATATTAGTGGCAGGTTCAGCATACGTGCAGCATCGGTGTGACTCCCTGCTGTTTCTCCAGCTACACACACACACACACACACACACACACACACACACACACACACACACACACATTAATTTCCCAAAAGTTTTCTCCAACACCTTCATAAAAGTTAACCCTCACTCCATACCATAATTCAAACTGACTTAG